TATGCAATAGAGAAAGAAAGTAAGCATCTCTTGATTTCCTTTTTCTTCTCTCACTTCTTAATCAAAAGGATGGGCAACTGAGTTGCTTCTCTGATATTCCCTTAACTATGGTTTGCAGGTTGAATCATTCGTCGAAGATGCTATGTCAAAGGTTGGTTTTCTTGTTAATTCTCTTGAATTTTAAATTGCCTTCTTTGAGGATGTCTATGATTATGATATATTTGATAAAGAAATATATTTTTTTTGTTGAGAAAAAAGAGTAATTGTTTGATAAAAGAAATATACATGCACAAAGAGAAATATGATCTAAAAGTGGATAAGGTATCTGTCACGTACATTTGACATGAACTAGAATTTAGATGAAAACAGAAGAGAGATTTAGAGTTACATGAGAGAAGAAAGAGATAGATGAGATCACGATACTTGGAAATCAGAATGAATTTCCAGCATAGTGTTTTTTTGCATTTAAAGTTTTGATTACGGGATTCGCATACCTTCTTTGCTACCTTACAGCTTATTGATAAGCTGTCTTATTCTCCATCAACATACACCAACTGAAATGCAACAACCTAACTACTAACTGAAATACAAGAATCTAACTAACTGCCTAATTGAATCCTCAGCAAGCAGTTATACAGCAACTAGAATAATGATTATTTTTCCTTTTTCTACAATGGCACACCTTAAATGGTTTACTAGTTCTGACAATACCCTTCCCTCCAAAAACAACTTTTTCCTCAAGGTTTAAGTTCGGAAATTTCTGCTGTAAAATCTCATAATTCTCCCAAATTCTGTTTCCGAAGTCAACTCCAGCCCACTGGACTAATCCTTGGTCTTTCAATTCTCTCTCAGTTTGGTGTAGATCAGCCTTATTTCCCAAAAACAGAGTCGCCATCTTGACTTGCTGCTCGTTCATAATTCCATGCATAAAAAAAATTGCACAAACCTTTGAATCCAGCCAAAGTTATTACTTGATAGAAATAGGAGTTTTTGCTTTAGGTACATTATTGTGGTTGGTGTTCCTGGGTTGATCAATATCATTGTTCCTTTGGTTGTTTGCGCTCTTGGTGTGGGCAAAATTCTTTTATCAGGTGGGTTCAGCTGAGGCTGAGAACTCATCAGAGTGTGTGTACCTGAAATTGAAGCATGCAGAATTCCATAAAAAAATTTGGTTGAATTTCTGGTC